AGGAGGAACTTAGGATGCACAAATAAGTCTGTGGTTGGAACTGCTACGACAGCTCAGTGTCTGGAGGAGGGAGAACACAGGTGAGCATAGGTTCTGACTTCAAAATCCATTGTAGGCAGGCAGAGGTGTTCAGCAGAACTTACTGTGGGGCGTGTATATGTTGGCTGGAGGAGGGAGAGGTAGAGAGCTGGGGGAAGCGCAGGAGAGGGAGCAGAGGCGGAGAGAAGCAGGGCGTCCTGGCGGATGGGGCACTGGGTTGAGATGAGAGGTGGGTTATGGAGGTTGGTGATATGGTCCGCGTGCTTAATGTCCAACTCCTGGAGTAGAGGTTAGTATCCAATGAGATCGACAGGAATCCTGAAGAAGGGTAAAAAATCCAAATATACTAAGAGCAAAAACATTACGAATAACATTAATCCTAGAACTACTAGAGGTAACTCGAGTGGCAGGTTACTACCAAAACTGAGGCAATCTTCCGGCGTCGAATTGTGTCCTCCATCCACCTTAAATAGGAAAACACCCCGCTGATTGCTGATCAGGAACAGCTGGGCCACTCCCTCTCCTGGCAAGAGACTCACAGATGGTTGAGAGAAAAGGAGTACTCACCCCGGCTCATGACAGTAGCTTATGAACAGCCTTAATGTGTAGAAAGAGAGATTATGTTACACATGACTAATAGGCTAATGGCTAAAGAATCTCAGATCCATGTTTTGATTTTAGAATATTTGGAGTAGTTATATGAGGGAAACAATAGTTTGATCCTAGATGCATTCACACAAACTTTCTACTGGACGTGTAAGCAACTCCTAATGTCGGCGAAGCATAGTCCACAGCAATTAGCTGCTGTTCTAGTCAATGGGTGTGTTTCCACCGGGTGCGATGTGTGGCATTTTAGACGCACCCCAGAAGCGCAGTGACAGCAGTTGAGATCAGACCAGACCGGTAGAAGAATATGAAATCAGTGTAAAACATCTGGAAACTTTCAAAGGAAAATACACACCCAAATTTCCAGTTCCTTAGTAAAGACAATTACGTCATTTCCTGTGAAACCTCCATAGTGGAAGTAAACAGAACAGAAACTAAACCACAGACTTTTTGGATACATGCTGCCATCTTTCTATTTGCCTGTTATCATGTGAACTGCTGAAATCACGCGTGATCTTGCAGTTCTCAGGTGATTTTGTGATTACGCTTTGCTTCCAATCCGCGTCTGAAACGCTCCAGGCTGGCAGCGATGTCCTGCTAATCTCACGGGTAAAACGCCTCTGTCACATTACGTTGCGAGCAGCTTACGCATGCACTTCAAAGGCCAGGTTAAAGTATACATTTCTCTGAACAGAGGCTGTTCAGGCAGCTCTCTACCTGTAATTATGTCAAAGTTTTATTTCATTTGTTCTTTCCTGCTGGCCTAGAATTAGAAAAAGGATGTTTGTATTTAAAAAGCCCCGTCTCTGCTGCTTGGAAGCATGACTACGGTTTTTTTGAAGGAAAATCTTTGATTCCAGCTATTGGAACATTCTGATTTTTAATTGACTCTCATTGTTCCAAAGTTTTTGTAAATTATTCTTGACAATCATGAACTGATTTAGTAGATGAAGCAAAGGTTTCTACAGCAGCTGTTCGTTTTTGGCCCATTTGCTGTTTACATAAAAATTAACTAAAAGAAAAGCAGCCTCAGAGTTTGATGATGTCCCTCCGATACGATTCCCGATCGATCTGGTTGGAACCAAATAAATCTTCATCTGAGGGTCTCAGATCCATTCTGAGTACGTTTGAGTTTTTCTATCCAAGAGGAAGGATTTTCTTCTTTCGCCACAGTTTTTCTTGATATAATTAGATGTGTTAATTTATTTAAGAACCAAGAGAAAGAGATTTATAAAAGTTGATTTATTGGTGTGAAATGTGTGCATGCTCAGGTTGATGCTTAAACGCATTTGTTCTCTTGAATATTTATATATTTGGTAGTTTATGGTTGGCTGCCTGCAGTGCGATAGAGGTGTTGCTGGTGCTGAGCAGGATACGGGAGCTGGGAAGATAGAGGAGGGGGGCAGAAAGAGAGAGTACCTCAGGCGTGTCCGGGCTCTGATGGCTCCCCTGACAACCTCCTCTGTAATGGTCTCCCTCTCTCTCTCTGAGTGCTGTGAAATTGCAGGCCGGCGCTCTACAGCTGAGGACTCCGAGGAGACAAACGGCCTTTTAATCCAGAGCGCAGAGAGGTGACGGAGAGGGAGGCCCTAAGGGAGGGCTACCAATCAGACATCCATCATACTAACCTCTCCCGTGGGATTGGCCCTGCCAAAGAGGGGCCCCAGAGGTGGTCTAACGTGTGTGTGAGCGCACACGCGCGTGTGTGTGTGTGTGTGTGGGGGGGGGGGGGGGGCTGCAGGGGAGGGAGGGGGAGGGACCGGTGTGCTCAGGTGTCTAGGCTGTCACACGAAGGGGCTGGAGCTGGGAAGTCAGGGATGAATTTGGGTGCCGTTACCTCCTCCACGCCACACATTTATCTATTAGCTCTTTATTCCCTGGATTTGTTTCTTAATCTTGTATCTTCTGAGCTTCATGTCGGCTCACAGATGCCCCTCCACTGACATTCCTGCCACTTTCACCAGGAGTGTCTGTTGTTGAAGTGCAGACATGTAATTCTCACTAACACTAACCTTTCTCCCTCTCCGACTGCAGATAGAACCTATGCAGTAACTTCTAGCGCAGGTTCAGGCGTTTGTGGGTGTTACTGCTTTAGATTTCTGCTTTCATTCGATGTGCATTGTTGGTTTTTAAGTACTTAGAGGTAGAGATGTAAAGTCTGCAATGCAAATCATTCATGAGGAGCTCTTATTAAAAAAACTAAGAGAAATGATCCTCAAACCACTCCAGGAGTTGGTCCTTGGAACTAAGCTCACAAAACAGATCAGAGTTTCTGTCCTTTAAAACCGAACCCAGATACATAGAAAATACTCTGGCAAATTCACATTTGTAACTTTTGCTGAGCTTGATGGATTAATCTTTTTTATTTTGTTTCAAATGAAACCTCCAACATGGAGACTTCTCGTGCCATGGTTCTTCAGGCAGACTCATCACCATCTGGATGTGGATAAACCTGAAGCAGAGAGAGCTGGAAACAGAACTTCAGCTTCTGCAATCTCTAGCATTCTGAGGATTTGTAATAATTTGTTGAGAGATTTTTAGATGGAACATCTCTCAGGATGGTTTTAGAAGAGACAAGTGTGTATTTTCATATTAGCTGCATTACAGCATTGATATTATTTAATAGTTCCTTATTTGAAATGATTAAAAGGCACGGTTTAAGATCCGTTAAGGTGGTTTGACTGTAAATACTCCCATGCACACGGCGGCAGTCTAACATCAGCCATAACATTAGATTGCGTGAGAATTCAGTGAAAAGAAGAAAGCCTGTTGCTGCACTTGGTGCTGGCTCCCTTCAGCACCAGGGACAGCTCCATCTCTCCTCTCCACAGGTGAGGTTGCTGCTCAGCAGGAGGCGCTCGGCGTGCACCGGAGAGCAAGGCACAGCAGACACATTCCTCGTTCCTCAGACCAAAACAAGAAGCGAATGCGTTCAACTCCCCTCTCTAATATTCTCCCTTCCTTTTTCTTTTCATGCTCCCATCTATCTCTCTCTCTCTCTTTGTCCCTCTTTCATTTTAACAGGCCAAAGGTTGCCGTGTTAGAAGCTTGGCTAATTGAAGAAATGTCATTCAGCTTTGTCTAAACACCCGCGAGAGCCACCGGTGTCTTCATGTGGGATAAATCCACACGACACCAGAAGAATCAACCACATAGAAAATAAAGAAACATTAATGAATTTGTATCTGAGTGCTTCAAACTCATCTAAATGATTACTTATTATACTTCTTATAGAAATCAATCATCAATAATCATCAATCTATGTATCCATTTATATAAATAAAATGTATCAAAGTCTGAAACAAGCAAACAAACGATGAATAAAATGTAATGACTGGAAAATGAAAAAAATCTGTCTCTGTCAAAGAAATAGAATAGAATAGAATAGAATAGAATAGAATAGAATAGAATAGAATAGAATTTTGTTTTCATTGTTTCAGAAACAATGAAATAGGGTTTAAAAGCTCCTGGTGTTGGCACATAAATCTGCAAGATAACATAAAATAAAATAGACAGGAATCTGTCAAATACAGTGACTGACTGACAAATGAATGAATGAATGAATGAATGAATGAACGAACGAACGAACGAACGAAAAAAACGAGCGAACGAACGAGCGACATACGAACGAACGAACGAACGAACGAATGAATGAATGAATGAATGAATGAATGAATGAATGAATGAATGAATGGATGGATGGATGGATGGATGTTTTACATTGGAGATCACATTTTTTAAATTCTGGGCTTTTTTCTGAAGAAAAGTATGTTAGATAATTCAACTATTTTATATTTGATCAGCCACACATTGGACTAGATAGATAGATAGATAGATAGATAGATAGATAGATAGATAGATAGATAGATAGATAGATAGATAGATAGATAGATAGATAGATAGATAGATAGATAGATAGATAGATAGATAGATAGATAGATAGATAGATAGATAGATAGATAGATAGATAGATAGATAGATGTTTGTTTAACAGATCAGGTCTGTTGGTAAATATTGAGAGCCCCTTCGATTGGGGGCCACTCTGTTAAAGCTCCGGGTGAATGGGCCCTCCCTATTGATAAGCTGCAGCTAATCCATCGCATTTCCCTGTAAATAGCTTTGTGCATGACAAAGGACCCCCCTCACCCCCCAACCCCCACCCCCTTCTCCTCTTCATCACCCGGTGCGGACACCGTGTAGCGGAGACATGTGAGTTTGTGCAGCAGCGGCCCTGGTTCCCCTGCTTCTGCAAAATTTATCCAGATTGACATCAGTGCTGCTTGCTGATTAGGGTGTTTTCGGCTTCCGGTTCCCGTGGAGGACCTGAGAGTCGCTCTCTGAGCCCCTCAGAGGATTCTCTCCCTATCTGAAGTCCGCCGGCCACGCACACCGGCCTTCTCTCCGCGACAGGGCAGGTATTCCTGCGCGCTCCGGGTCCTGCTCGGAGGCTACAGCTGTGAACGTGTAACCATGACAACTGCGCTCTGATTGGCGCGTCTGGCACGGGAATTAACGGGGGCATCGTCCAATCTGAGGCGAGGAAGCGCTGCGCGCTGGCAGAACCTCGTGATAACCCAAGCACAGTGATGTGAAAGTGGCAACGTGAGGTGAACCCGGAGGAAAACATTGGAGCCGAAAAAACAAAGCACGATCTGAGAGGAGTTATTTCAAATAAAAACAGAATGATGAGGTTTCAGCAGAAAAACATGGCTGGTTTGTTCCTGAGCCGGCGCAGCTGAGACCCCGCACCCTCCTCCTTCCTCTCCTTTCTGGATTGTGGATTGTGACAGCTAGGAGACCAACACCGAGCCGGACCAGGACCATATCTGTTCATGAGGAATTGTTCCGCTGCTTGTTTTTAATTTGAGTTCTCCAAGTTTTCGCCTGGCAGCGCCCCTCCCGGAGCCAAGACGTTGCTCCGCGTAGACCCGGGTTGCCCCAGTCCGAGCAGCGCAGTCCGGGAAGTGGGAAGGTCGGCCCTCGGCGTCTCACAGGCCGGCAACATGATGGTCCACTGCGCCGGGTGCGAGCGGCCCATCCTGGACCGCTTCCTCCTCAACGTGCTGGACCGAGCCTGGCACGCCAAGTGCGTGCAGTGCTGCGAGTGCAGCTGCAACCTGACCGAGAAGTGCTTCTCCCGGGACGGAAAGCTCTATTGCAAAATGGACTTTTTCAGGTAACACAAAAGGACGTGGCTCTGCTCTCAACGTGTACAGCTAAACAAAACCTATTTATGGAAATAGTCGTTTAAAATATAATACATTTAGAACCCAGACTGAAAATGTGATTCTGCACATATTGAAAAAATGTATTAATATTAAGAATGATCATAAAATGATTGGCACTAAATTTACTTATTTCAAATAATTTATATATCAAATCAATGAAATCCTGCAGGATTTCATTGATTTATTTACATATTTTGTGCTAACATTCGGAGCGCGTGGCCAAAAAGGACCTCCACAATAAAAACAAATGACATCACCTTTTTAAATTATTGTGTATTCGAGTGCAATCGGTGCTTTTTTGTTTATTTAATCTATTCCAGCTCCAGCCGACACGTTTCAAACCCCCATTGGGCCATTAACCGTTCACTATCCCCAAAAAGTGTTCCAGGTAATTGAGTGATAAGTGAAGCCCTTGTTTGTCCCTTTGCATCGTTTTCATTTCTACTCTCCCCCAAATTGTCTAATGACACGCGAGGCGCGGCAGCCTTTTGTTGGGACGCGGTGGTTGTGGCCCCGCGCGGCCTTGGCCGTCATATTAGCGCGGGTCCCATCACGCGCTGGATTTAAATGGCCCTGCCATTAGCCGGGCGAAACAGTAATCACCCTAATGTGTCCATTTGTTGTGTAAGTAGAGTTGTGCCCTCGCGCAGGGGGGAGGCTTGTCCATGCATGTGAAAGGCGGAGGGTGAAGCGATACCAACGGGGGAGACAAGCCTGCCCCTGAAAGCTTAAGCGCCCCTTTTCCCGCGCAGGTGATAAACCTGCAAACCAAATTCTCTCCTCATTCAGCTCAAATAACAAAAACAACACCCCTCCCCTCTGCCCCATCCTCCTCCTCCTCTTCCTCCTCCTGCTCCTCTTCCTTTTTCCATCAGGAGGGAAACTCTGCAGAATTTATTCCTATTTGTGCATCAAACTGATGAGTCTCCCCGGCCTTTAGGCGGGTGAATATGGATTAAGAGAAGATTTCCACGCTAAAATGCTCCCACTCTGACTAATCCCATCATATATATCCGCGGCTACTGTGTGTTGATTGTCACTAATGCGTTTTTGCGTGGGGTTTATTGTCTGAGCGCCTCCATCAAAATCAGGCTTTTTTTTAAATAAAGGCATTTTTGTTAAACTAGTAAAATTGGCTGGTTAATCTAAGATTGTTGGTGTTTGGAAATTTAGTTAAAAAATAATAAAAATATAATAATAATATTAGAAATAAATACAAATAAATGTTAAAATAGTAAATATGTTTTAAATAATGCTCATACTAATATTCTGGTTTCTAATCACAGTTCCAGCTCTGTCGTTTCATTTTATTTATTTTTAAATAAATAAAACCAGAATTGTAACCTCCAGTTCTGTATCGCACCCAGGCGCTTTGGCACCAAATGCGCGGGCTGCCTGCAGGGAATCTCTCCGAACGACCTGGTGCGCAAGGCCCGCAGCAAGGTGTTCCACCTGAACTGCTTCACCTGCATGGTGTGTAACAAGCAGTTGTCCACGGGAGAGGAGCTCTACGTCATCGACGAGAACAAGTTTGTGTGCAAAGAAGATTACCTGAGCTCCGGGGCCATCAAGGAGGTCAGCCTGAACTCAGGTGAGCCGCTGTCCACAGATAGGTCCTTTTATTTAGTTAAAAAAAGAGACAAAAACAGAAAAAACTGTTTTTTTATTTATTTTGCCACTTTATTGGGTTAATATAAATAAAACGTTTGAAGGAGTCAATAGAAACAGCTGATGAATAAAATCGGCCGCTGAGATTTTCTATCAAGCTGTCCGTGGAGAACATTTCACAACAACCTTGTGCGAATATTTACCTCCACACAACAACAGCTGTCTGCCTTCCTTTTCTTCTTCTTCTGCTGTCCTTTATGTGCGCCGGAGTCCGCGGGGGAGTTTGTCTCTTCTCTGCTGTCTATTTATCCTTGAAAATGCTCAGGAGGACACACACACACACACACACACACACACACACACACACACACACACACACACACACACACACACACACACACACACACTTGTTTTAATTATCTCTTGGTTAACTAATATTACCACGCGAGTGTTTTTATTTTATTTTATTTTTCTTTACCTCCGTTTAGCCAAAACATTTATTCACCTAAAGGGAAGAAAAATAAATGCACGGCATTTTAACTAAACATTGAAATAGATATCAATTTTTTGTGCAAAATATAAACGGGATGTCCTCATTTATGTATTTTATTTTGAAAAACGCATGTCTTTATTGGTGCGTAAAGGCTGCGCACCCAATTAAAACACCTCCTGCTCCTTGACCTTTCTGATCGTGACCTTCCTGTTGTCCCACCCCCCTCGTCGCAGTGTCGTCGTGCACGGACAGGAGTTTATCTCCGGATCTGCAGGACCCGATACAGGACGACATAAAAGAGACGGACAATTCCACCTCCTCGGATAAGGAAACGAACAATATTGAGAACGAGGAGCAGAACTCGGGGACCAAACGGCGGGGGCCCCGGACCACCATCAAGGCCAAGCAGCTGGAAACGTTAAAGGCGGCGTTTGTCGCCACGCCAAAGCCGACCCGACACATCCGGGAGCAGCTGGCGCAGGAGACGGGGCTGAACATGCGCGTCATCCAGGTGAGCTCCATCATCCATCACGGCTGTCCTGCTATCAGAAGATGCTGAAACTTTCTCTCGTGTGTGTGTGTGTGTGTGTGTGTGTGTGTGTGTGTGTGACGGAATGGGGGGAGGTCCCACTAAGACAAAGATAAATTAAAAGCAAACGACGGATTATAAATCAGGAAAATTACCTTTTAATTTTCCTGAGGCACGACGTTTAATTGAAAGCCTCATTATGTGTAAGAGAAATGTCCAAACATGATGTGGATCATTAGCAGAGGATGGATCCAGGCCCACCACTGGATGTGAAATGTTTCCTTTAGCTCCATATATTCTAGGCAATAATGATAAAATGACAAGTGGTGCCTGCTTCCTCTCCAAAGCAGTTTAATTTGACACAAAAACTTCAAATAATGTCATTAAGGTAAAATGTTTATACATTTTTACATGCTATGGCATTTTTAAGGCCTGCTTTTTCTTTTTCCCCATGTCTCAGTGCCACTGAGCATCCCAAATTATGAAATAAAAAGAAAAGAATCAGATTTATTGATGCTTGGAGGTGATTAATGACATGTGTGCTCTGAAAGCGACAGTTTATTTGGAAATAATACGTGTTATGCAGCCATGAAATGAGAGAAAGGTTAGCCTTGCTGCTTGCCAATGCTAAGAGGAAGCCGACACAAACATGGTGAGCAACCAAACACACACGGCCTGCCTTTTTAAAATCCTAACACACACACACACACACACACACACGAGCATGGTGTCTGGGTGCAGACTGTGTCAGGATGATTAGCACCATCTCTGCCAACTGTGATGTGGCTTTTTGTGCACTCATTGTAATTATCGCTGATTTCACAGATTTACATTCCTCCCTCCCCTTTCCCACCTCTCTGCTCTCACTCACTTACAGCCTGCTGCCTCCTCTTCTCCTCATCTATATCATACAGTTAGTGTGTGTGTGTGTGTGTGTGTGTGTGTGTGTGTGTGTGTGTGTGTGTGTGTGTGTGTGTGTGAGCTCCGTCACTGAATCAATGAGCAAACCAGTCATTCATTCAGTCTTCTGTTCCTCCACCTTCCACCCGTCACACACGTGTGTGTGTGTGTGTGTGTTTGGAGCCAAAATGGAGGTCCTGTTTCGTCATCTCTCCAGCCTGTTCAGTGTGTGTTAAATACCAGAGCTCTCGACGCGGGGAGCCCTGTGAGCCACGCTGCTCCTCCAGCATGTGGATGTAATCCCTAAGCAACGCTCTCTCAAGGGAAGCGACAGCATTTCCATAAAAATGTACCCTACAGTTAGACGATTGTTCTCAATAAGCAGGTGTTGCCTTTGCCGCTGGAGCACAGAGAGCCGAGCCTAAGTGGTTTTGGCTGTTCTCGTGCATGTGTGTGTGTGTGTGTGTGTGTGTGTGTGTGTGTGTGTGTGTGTGTGTGTGTGTGTGTGTGTGTGTGTGTGTGTGTGTGTGTGTGTGTGTGTGTTAATCTGAAGCACAGTGGGATTCTGCCTCTGGTGTAGCCTAGCATGGTGTGAACATACATCATTATGAAGCAGCGATGCAAAAGGCGAATGTGTTATGTGCTTATAATGCAAAGACATTCCTCCATATGGTGTGTGTGTGTGTGTGTGTGTGTGTGTGTGTAGCTTTCTGCAAAATTTAAACCCTCCTTTGTTCCTCTTCAAAGAAAGTTTATTCAATCAGGCTCTGATTTACAGCTTCGGCTGTTTATTTTACCTCCGAGCGAGGAGCACTGGGGTGTGGAAGGGGCCACAATTACGCCTCCCTGAGATTCATCTTAATTGTGTGTGAGGAGGAAATGCTTTCAGAAATAAAGACACTTCTTTGTTTTTACTTTTCATTTCTGCGTCTTTAACCAGTTCAGAACAACCACTGGTGTATTGAATTGTGAGAAAATACACAAGCTCCTCTTAAATAGCGATTGTTTCTTTGGGAATAGTTAGAAAATCTGAGTTTTTGTTGCTGAGATTTCACACGTCAGGTTTAGATCAGGTGAAAAAAGAAGCAGTTGTGTTTAGAAAATGTCAGGAAAGTTGACTCAAGGTTCCTTTAAGCGCCAAAAAGTCTTTTAATGAGAGAAAAAGTCAGAATATAAAGATTAGCTGGGATTGACATTTTTATCATATAAAACTGTCCGGATCCAAAAGACGCCTCAAAGCACACTTTAATGTTTCAGTGGAAAAGGTAAGACGCAGAATCCAGACACAAACCCGATAAAGAAAGCCCTCCTTCTGCCGTCTGCTCTGATTCAGGTTTGGTTCCAGAACAGAAGATCCAAAGAGCGGCGGATGAAGCAGCTGAGTGCTCTGGGGGCCCGGCGCCACGCCTTCTTCAGGGGCCCCAGGAGGATGAGGCCTCTAGGAGGACGGCTGGAGGATCCAGACATTTTAGGACCAGGGGCTTACGGCTACTACGGAGGTACGGATATAAACACAAGTCTCTGGCTATACGTTAACGGGAACTGGTCTCACACGTGCTTCTGAAACAGCACCAGTAAAAGCTCCAGGTCACGTACCGGAAAGCATCCCGGGACAGGATGGTCGGGTTGCTGGGAACGCTGTCTGGAGAACAGGATCGCGTTCTCGCTTGTGCAGAGACGTAAACGGAAATAAAACCCTAACTTGATTCTAGTTGACAGATATTGTTTTTTTATTAAGAAACATCAGACGAGCTCTGAAGGAGAGTCGGTGTGTTTGACGTAAAAAACAAGATTATTCATTTTTAAAATAAGATTTCAAACTTTAATTACAGCAAATGTCACCTTAAGATTTGACAGGATGCCATGTGTCAAACGTTTTAAAATAAACAAGAGAAATGATAAATATAGAAACTTTAGTGCATTAATGTCTTTAATAAATGTTTCTGTTTGTTACTTTGAATATAAAGTTCACACGATTATCGGCTGAAATAGATAAAAATGTTCAAACAATGTGAAAATGACAGTCTGCTGTTTAAATAACTTTGGGTAACAATTTACAATAAGGGTCCCTTTATTAATACTTGGTGCATTATTAAGCATTAATAAACAAAGGATCCCTTTAGTAATGTTCCCAGTGTTGTTAATTACTAAATGTCCTTAAGGTTAGGACAAAAGGCCAGGGGGGTGTCTGCCTAGTTATGCATTATGTAATACTAACATTATTATTAGGCAGTTGTTAATACTTTAGTTTTAATGCCTAATGAACTAAGTAACACTGATAAAGGGACTCTTATTGTAACGTGTTACCTAACTTTATTTAAATTAATATTAGAACTTATTTAAGGCTTAAAAATGTAGGATTTTTATCTGGATCTTCCCGGAAAACAAAAATCTTCCTACTAGCTGAATGATCTTTCACCTGCATCTACAACCGCTTGTGGAAAAATCATTAAAGAGCGCAAAAATAATAATTTTAGTCTTTTTTTCTGATTAAGCAGAAACTGAAGCTGAAAAAGGAGCAAAAATCCAAAAACAAAATTACTGAACGAAATCTAAAAGGTTTAAAAACAAATAAAATCCCCTTAAACTATTGTTACAATAAAATATTGTTTATATAAAAAATATACTGTATATAATATATTGTAACCCTGATTAAGTCACAGGAAGGTTTTATTAACTCGTTATTTAAAAACACATTAGAATTAGGTGGAAGAATAAAAATCACCCTGGAGTTTAATGCTCTGCTCTTACTCTCATTTCATTTACTTTATAACTTTACTTGCAACACTTTTTAGTTAAAACACACAGATTAGCATCAATCTAAATCCATGACTGAACTAATCTAAGAACAGTTAGCTTCGTTTAGTCAAATTCAGGCTGAAAGCACAGAAATCACTGTGTGAGTGCTGCTAAAATCGTTTAAGTGTCGTAACTAGGCGGAGATCCGGTTCGCATCATAGGTCTGAGTGTTTGTCAGGTTCAGGTGGAGGGAGACGGGATGCAGGCAAGCTGCTGGTTATGTTTTTATCAGCGTGATGTGAGCTGATTCTTCTCAGAGGATGGATTGTTTCTTTTGGACAGCTTTTCATGCAGATGTGGGATTGGTTTTCAGTAAATATCCTGATTCACTCGGGACCTCTCATCTTCCCTGATCACTTTTGATCAGATAATCTCCGCTTGGTGGATTGAAATCTGCATCTTTTAAGAAATAAATGAATGTGTTTCCAAAACGTTTGATGGTCTTTATGATGAACATTGTGTTAGATAAAAGTATTTGATCAGGAACAAGCAGGTTTGGTCTCCACGCAGCTTCACCACCTCTACCTGAGGGCCTTCAGCCTCCAGGATACAATAAAGCAAAGCCGTCAAGGCTGTGAGGAGGAGGTGGAAGAGAGGAGGAGGGGGACAGAGGACAAAACCTCTATACCTCTCTCTCATCTCTCCCTCTTTCTTTTCACACCCTTTTGTGCCGCGGCGGCGGCACAGGCCAGCCTGCCTGCCTTTATCTGAGCGCGCCGCCTCCCCGCGCCTCTTCATGGGGAGGGATGCCTGTGTGTGGCAGGATACGTGTGTGTAATTATAGTCTACGGCTCATACACACACACACACACACACACACACACACACACACACACACACACACACACACACACACACACACACACACACGTGAAGACAAGCTTGTTGCGTCTTCTCAAGGTCAGACCAAACCAGCACAGGCTTGTTTTGTGAGATCAGATAATTAGCATGTTTGGGGGAAGTGATGTCACTCCTCCTTTTCGTTTCTCTTGGTTCTAAAGGCAGCGTGTGACAGACAACACGTGCAGACGCTGCGGTGCTGCAGCAGATTCCCTGATATCTAACCTCTTAGTTGTGCCTGTTTGGACTGAATGGCAGCGAGAGCAGCAGATGGCGGGAGTGGAGACGTGCAACATCTGGGGCAGCTGGATGAGCTCTGCTATGGAGCTCATCTGCCGCAGAAACAAAACGTCAAGGATAAAAATGTTGGGACGCAGAAGACAAAAGTCTTCAACCCTTTAAACCTCCATACAAATGAAGCAAATAAATGTTTTTATTGCTTTTGGGACTCATAATAAATAATAATAAACTTAAACAATGATATTATTAAACTATATCGTATTAAATGCATACTATGCACATTTTTCACATTTTAGAACCACTTCCTTGAGCCAGTATGTGCTAAAATGTCCCTTTACAATGTTAATGAAATGAGTCACTCAGACCCCACCGCCCCCCTGTGGCCAGAAAACCGGACTTGCAACTTCAGAGTTGCTGGTCCGGTCCCTGCTGGTGGTGGGAGCTGTGGAGCGGCGCTGCAGTCTGCTACCAGCAGGTTTCCTGCATGTTTTAGATCACGAACACGGCGGATTTGTTTGATTTAGTGAGGAGTCACTCCTGTAGACACTAATGAAGGATGAGGAGATACTAGCAGGACAACAGAGGGCGTAGCGCTCTTGTGTGGTATCCTGTCATGTATCCGGTCCAACACAACGGTGCATTTACTGGTGTATTTTTTTTTTTTTTTTTTGTATTTCAGAGAATTTTTAACAAGAACAAATTTGTCCCTCATTCTCCTCCACCTCTTCATGCGTTTGCCACCTCTAAACCCACGTTTCCCGTCACTCCCGTCCACGAATAAAATGCTTGCTGCGTATCATTTTCCTCATCCAGTCACAGGCGAATAAAACGGTCTGATTTTTAGAGGTTTTCCATGAGGCATTCTTCAAGCTGCTGCGTGTCTACAGCTAGAAATCTTCAGCTTTCTTTGTCAATGGCAGCACTGTTAACGAAAGCGGCGTCCTGACCAATCACACGCTCATCTCTATCTCAGATATTTAGAAAAGTAGGCTCAACTCCATCTGTCCTTGCGAGCCTGCTGGAGAGCCTTCGCAAGGATGGATAATGGCGTTGCGTGTCTCCGTATACCGACGCAGACGCGGAAGCAAAAACAGGCTTAAGCCTTGTGCTGCCTGAAGGAAAGAGGCTAAAATGGTTCCTGAGCTGGAAATATGTTTAAACAGATGGAGATGTATTTCTGCAGATGGAACCAAATGTAGGTTTTTATTGATAAAAAAAATCAATAAAAGATGTTTACATTTAAAGAAAAAGGAACATAAAAAAGATGATCTGTGCAGCCTAACAAACAAATAAAAGCTTTTATAAGATGTTTATTTAATTCCCACATTTAGCCCACCGCAGTAAGGAAATGTTAATCCAATTAAGGATTCAACTAATTTTGAGCTCCCCTCATTACCTAATTTGCTTCAAGCCACCTTGTTGCTAAGCAGCAGCAAACACCAACTCACCGTTCAGCAATAGCACCAAAGATGCTTTTCTTTTAGAGCAGAGGAACAGGAACTGTTGATATCTTTTAATTCTTTGTATTTTTGCACCAAACTCTATATCGACACTTCTGATTCAACACAAGAACGCGACCAAATCCCATCTTTATGTGGACATTATCTCATTTATATTAAGCAGTACAAACAAGAATCTAAATTAAATAATGCATGAGCACAATTTTTTAATTATTATGTATTATCATCTTTTCTTGCAAAAGTGCCTTTGTGCTGCGTCCTTTTTGCTGTTTAAAGAAGGGGAAAGTTTGGAGATTTCCAACCCCGAACTTTTTCCTCCTGATCAACGCGCGTCTGAAAAGCATCTGGCGATTAGAAAGAATGTACAGCAGCGGCTGATTTGGAGGGATCAGTCCATGGTTAAAGATTTGTCTGGAGTTGTTTTAAAGTACTAAAAAATGCAAGGCTTGCACATTGTGGGGCTCCACTTGTGGCCTCTTTATACCACCAAGATGACATGTTGAGAAAAAAAGAAACCGTGTTTTGGTGTGATGAAGAGGCCACAAGTGGAGCTCTGCAGTGAGAGCCTTTTTGTGGTTTCTGGTCTGGTTTCATCCTGGTTTGAGCCCAGAACATGCTTGGTGTGGATGTTTTGTCTCAGCTCGTTGGTTTAATGACGCAGTGGGTGGAGTTCTTTGCAGCCAGGGCCAGATTAACACTTTGTTGTACCCTGGGCAACAATATTAAAGGGCCCCATCATCACGGCCCAAGGATCACCATAATATGATCACATACAGAATATTTTACTGTAATATGCAGTAAATATACTCAATACTTGAATGCCTGACGTCACGTAACCCGCTCAGGGTAACCTTTGACCCACCTCGTGTGGACTGACCAATGAGGAGAGGATCTTAACCTGAGGCCCTCTCTTCATTGGTCAGTCTGCATGAGAATGACTCTCAACTGACAGTCAGAGTCATAGGCAGCGAAGCGTCTGTGCAGCGCAAAAGCCCGGGTGGACAGTTTGTTTAATATAAGGTGACCATATTTCCATTTCCAAAAAAGAGGACAGGGGATCTGTGCCTATGACGTCACACTATGGCAACGCCACACAAACCATGTTGGGACCCATTTTTTTGTAAGAACTAAATTAATATCAGATTCTGCCAATAAAAGGG